TATGTTGACAACAAAAACAAAATCGAGCACAATGTTAATTTAAATACATAAAATACATAAAACTTCTACTATTTTTTTAAGAAATGGATGAATGTGAAAAGAGACCTTGTCGCCACAATGGTGTTTGTTCGGACGGAATCAATGACTTTTCATGTAGTTGTCCTACTGGTTATTCAGGAAAAAGCTGTGAAATTGGTACACATTAAAATGTATTCAATAGCTATTTATTGATGTATTATAGACAGCCTTATAGTGATATGAAAAATCAATGCTTATAATGTCCTTTGCTCGCATTATAACATTTTAATCCTAAAGGATATGTCATATGTTTATTGCTTATTTTGAAAAATATTATTTTGACGAAACTAATTTCTGTTGTTCAGATATTGATGACTGCTCTTCAAATCCTTGTCATAATGGATATTGCAGTGATGGCATTAATAATTTTATTTGCTTCTGTCGTCACGGTTTTACTGGAACATTATGTCAAACTGGTGAATATTTTTTTATTTTTCCATTCAATTCTAATTTTCATAGTTTACATGCTCGTGTTATACTGGTTATACTGGATTAAGATGTGAAATAGGCAAGTATATGACCGTATTTGATTGTAATATCTGTGTCGTACCTTCCCCCCCTTGTACCAATTGTGACACTTGTACTCATAGCCTCACTTGTCCTAATTGTACGACAATGGTTTCACTTGTCTCCATTTCTTAGTTCTTGCATTGCAAATACATAGATCACCTATCCAAATTAACTGGGTTATTTTATAGATTTGTGTGGTTTAAGCATAATAAGTTTTTGATTGTCTTGATTCATTACACAATTTGTGCGATTACTAGTTCACTATCTATTACCTGAATTTTAAAACCTCAGCTATGATTAGGACACAAATTGTATTTATCAGGCAGTTTATCAAATCTATGACTTTACAAGTATTTGTGAGTAATTTTATAACTATTTCCTCTTTATCGTACGTTTTACTTGAGTATATCTTATTCGTCAGACTTTTCGAAGTAGGTAGTACTAGTTATAGGCATGGTCCAAGACGATTGTATACTCTTTAATTTAGTTCGATATCCAGAACTACAGTAAATCAATATATATTACAATAATGAAAATTTATATTGCGAGCATGTATAGGAAACAGTTAAACGAATGGAGAACATTACCTTCTCCCAGTTACACAACAATAAATATGCAATAATATTGAGATTTAAACTAGCAAATATAGTATCGTCATCGTCAGATAACTTTCTAATTAAAAGTAAACTTCAAAATCCTGACCTCCTAATGCCACAACTGTTATTCCAGGACTATTACCAGTAATAAAACATTATGTCATATTTCTATTTGAAAATAAATATTATGTATTGTGTATGTGTAAATAATTTGATGTACACTACTGAACATAATCCGAATATTCATTGCAAGTATTTTTTGCAAATGCATTGTATAACTACTGCTTTTGCTTTGGGAGGCCAGGTTTACTGGCAAAGTGAATATAAAAGCTTTTATTGATTTTTTAACTCTGCAAAAACGACATTATGTTTGTTTTTATTTTGAATATGAATTAAAAATCTTATCTGAGTTTATTATAAAGTCTGATAGGCTATACCAGAAAACACTGAGAGATAATATTGCGAAATTTTAACTGAACTTTAAGTAAGGTATCCATCGCTGCAGGCAATAATATGAATATGAGCAAAACCTTCTAGGATTTAACTATTTGTTCTCAAAAGCTTGTCCTTCTGGTGTATTGCGGCTATCATTAGAATTTAGAAATTGGGAACAATATTTCATTCAAACTAATATCTGTAACAGTTTTGGCGTTTTGAAATTTAAGGTAATTGTTAAGGTAAATCTAGGGTTGATAACTTTTACACACTGAACCATGCTGACATAGGTCTTTGGCACTAGATTATACTGAATTGGTTGTATATGTATATTTGGCTGGCTATATTATGTATAGGACATCAACTGTGTATGCATATGACATTGACTTTATATGCATATTTACTTAGCTTTATACGTATATGAGTCGGCTTTATACAAATATTGGTTGTATATGCATATGAATTTGGCTGTGTATGCATTTTATGCATATGACATTGTTGTATATGCGTATAGATAGCATTGGTTGTTTATGCATATCAAGTTTGCTGTATGTATATATGACATTGGGTTTTATTCAATTTGTGTCCACCATCCGAGTCCACTGCTCTATTTTATAAAATTACACAAGGCTAGTGAATGATCAGTACTGGTATATCAATCAATTATTGTAACAGGATTTGGGGATATACCTAATATTTGCAATGAAAAAATCTGAACAGGTCATTTTATTTTTAATGGATAATGTAATTGAATAGTTTCTGTTGCCCAAGTTTTAAATCGTTATACTCATGACCCAAAATAATATTGTCCACATTTATTAATTATCCTTATTTTTCCTAGATATCGATGAGTGTTCTCCGAATCCATGTCTGAATGGAGGATTATGCAGTGCTGGTGTCAGTGATTTCTTTTGCTTCTGTCCTGAAGGTTTCGACGGAGCGCGGTGTCAAAATAGTAATTCTTTTGTATCAATTAATTCTTTTATTGTACATTTGCAAACATTATGTCTAGAGTGTATATTTTGCATCCAGGTTGTAATATATTTACTAAGCCGACAATTCATAACTGGAAATCTACTGACGTTAGTTAGGGCTGCACATCCAGATTCCTTTACTAAGCAAAGTATGATAAATCCAAAATACTGGAACGATGAAGAAAAAAAAAATTGTAATTTTGCCTGAAATTGACCTATGAAAACAGTAATACATCAAACAGCGTATTCATTTTTTCACTGTTGTATTGTGATTTTGAGTATTGCGAATTTTGCAGTGTTTCATGTAATTTGCTTAAAACATTCTTCTCCTATGATGAAACTATAACACATACTTTGAACTAGTACAGTTTTTACTCCGAGACTGATGACTTAAATAACGGGTTTTTGTCACTATTAGATATAGACGATTGTTCCTCAAATCCTTGTCAACATGGAGGTCAATGTGCTGATGCATTGAATGGTTTTAAATGTACTTGTGCTGATGGATATGAAGGAGACAATTGCGAAACAGGTAAAAAAGTTGTACTATTATCACATGGGTTAGAATTTACAGATAAATATTTATTGGTGCAAAGAACAGTCATTGACAAAACAATCACTTTCCAGTCATGAAATTGACTGACGTTCAAACTGTGTTTTGTTATTTTTAGATTCTGACGATTGTTCCCCAAATCCCTGTCAACATGGAGGTCGGTGCGTTGATGCAGTGAATGGTTTTCATTGCGTTTGTGCTGATGGATATGAAGGAGACAATTGTGAAACAAGTAAATCACTTTTTAACATGGGAATTTAAACCTATTATACAAAATCTCAAAAATAAGTTGGAAAAGTTCTAGTTGATTATACAGGGTGTCTCAAAAGTAAGTACGGTATACACTTTTAATTTCGATTTGCTTTTCAGGTACTCATCAAAGAGGTTCATTGCTTCAGAAAACATACTATGGATAAGTAGTAAAATTTAGGTATTGTTTGCATTTTTCATCAACCCACATAATGACAAGGAGATCTACCCCAGAAATGAGATGCAAAATTGCTGTATGGCAAGAGGCATATCAATCGATAAGACAACTGAGCGCCAATTTAACGTAGAAATTAATTTGTACTACCAATTCATGCAATTCATCGTAAATTTATGGAAACTGGATCTGAAGTTGATGCACAAAAATCAGGAAAACCATGGAGCAGGCACTCTGAGGAAAACATTCAAAGCCGAATTAATTCCAAATTCACTGTTGAAGAGGCGCCGAGTTTTCTCACTGATTTATATGCTTTTTGCCAAACAGCAATTTTGCACCTCAATTCTTGGGTTAATAGCGTTGTCATTCTGTGGGTTGATAAAAAATGCAAACAATACCTAAATTTTACTACTCATCCATACTATGTTTTCTGTAGATATGAGCGCTCTATGATGAGTACCTGGAAAGAAAATCAAAATAAAAGTTGATACCGGTACTTACTTTTGAGACACCCTGTATATTCATTTTCCTTCAACTCGTATCCAAACCTATACTTTATAACAAAATAAAATAAATTCATGTCTGATTCAGCATTTATACGAAGATAGTGTAGTTATTCCTCATGATATTATGTTTACGATTTTAATGGCTATTTGTTGATAATGGATGAAATGGATTCAAATTTAAAAACAAAACGTACTGGTCATGCTTCAAACGATTTGATATCAGCATTTTGAAATTATAAAAATTAGTTACGATAGTTACATACAACCGCAAAGTTAATCAAGAATTGTTACAGAGATGCGCATGAGGGTTCAATCACATCTGGCTCTCATTGTTCATGACATTGTAAAACATTTCTCTCGTTACATTTTTTTCATTACAGTTATATCTTTACAAGACTATCTTATTACAAGGACTCATATTCACCTCCCTTTGGGAGTTTTACGACTGTTAATAAAGTGCCCATGGTGTACTGACTTGTCCCTATACAAAAATCAAATAATAAATTTTGTTACTCATGAATATTGACATACTCTATATGAAAATGTGTCTTTTTAGATATAGACGACTGTAACCCAAGTCCTTGTATAAATGCTAAAGCTTGTGTTGACGGAATATTTGATTTTACTTGTGAATGTCAAGATGGATACGCAGGGAAACATTGTCAAACAGGTGTTGTTTTGCACTTAACAAAATTTTATTCATCGTATAGGTTCAGTATTTTGCTTTACCTTATATTTTTACCGAATATTTTCTTACAATATTTCTGCATACAGTAATACTTACAGTATATAACATAATGCCAATTACAAAATTACAAGGGATTTTATCTCAATGTAATCCTTTCTCTTTTTCTGCTGGATTTTTATTATATTTGACTCATAAATGTCAGAAATCCATTGTCGAGCAGTTCAATTTATTATTAGATATAGACGACTGTTCACCAAATCCTTGTCAACATGGAGGCCAATGTGCTGATGCAGTGAATGGTTTCAAATGTACTTGTGCTGATGGATACGAAGGAGACAATTGCGAAACAGGTTAAAAGATTGTACTATTATCACATGGGTTGGAATTTATAGATAAATATTCATTCGTTCAGAACCGTCATAGATTTCGTTAAACCTGTCATACCCGTCTCAACAATGCGAAAATTGGAATTAAAGCAAGTTCAAAGATATCTATTAGTAAATTTCCATGCTAGCGTTTATATTTGGTTTTGTGCATGATTTAGTTTCAGTCTGCATACAGCTCCAACTACTCAATATTTTGTTGAAATAACAAATGTGCCTTTTACAAAAATGCGAATTAATTTTTATAATTAATATATTGTCATTGAAACATTTGACCTGGCCAATTTTGAAAGTGTGAATTCTTCCTTATTTTTAAATAGCACCACATAAATGACGTAGCAAATTATGCATTTGGTCATCTTCGTTGAAACAAGAATATCAATATTGTATATGTAAAAGGCCAGTTGCACAATTGGGAAATCGTAACTGAAATAGTAATATTTCGGTGAAATTGAAATATATCATTTTAAACTATAATAGGCACTTTCCATTTAATCACTTTCCACCCATGAAATTATGACTGATATCGTATTTTGTTGTTTTTAGATTCTGACGACTGTTCCCCAAATCCTTGTCAACATGAAGGTCGGTGTGTTGATGCAGTTAATGGTTTCAAATGTGATTGTGCTGATGGATACGAAGGAAACAATTGTGAAACAGGTAAAAAAAAATTGTACTATTATCACATGAGTTATAATTTATAGATAAATATTTATTGGTCCAAAAAACAGTCATTGACAAAACAATTACTTTCCAACTAATCACTTTTCAGTCATGAAGTTGACTGAAGTTTGAACTGTGTTTTGTTATTTTTAGATTCTGACGACTGTTCCCCAAATCCCTGTCAACATGGAGGTCGTTGCGTTGATGAAGTGAATGGTTTTCATTGCGTTTGTGCTGATGGATATGAAGGAGACTATTGTGAAACAAGTAAATCACTTTTTAACATAAAAACTTAACCCTTATATACAAAATCTCAAGAATAAGTTAGAAAAGTACTAGTTGATAATGTAACCGTTTTCCTTCAACTCATACCCAGAAATATACTTTATCAAAAAATAAATGAGATTTATGTCTAATTCAACAATCATACGACAGTAGTGTAATTATCTTTTTGATATATCTTCACAATATAAATGGCTATTTCTTAATGATGGAGAAACTGGAGACAAGTTTAAAAAAAAAGAATGTAAACGTACTGGCCAGTGGCCATGCCTCAACCAATTTGATATCAGCAAAAATTATAAAAATTATGTACATCAGTAACATACAACCAACCGCAAGGGTAATTATGAATCGTTACAGAAATGCGCATGAAGGGTCCACTCGGTGGCTCTCATAGCTTATGACATTGTAAAACATATCTCTTATTTCATTTTGTTTATTAAAGCTATATATTTATCACATCACAAGGACTGAAATCCACCTCCCTTTGGAGGTTTTACCACTGTTATACAAATGTCCAGGGTACATTGACTTTGCCCTTCCCAAAAATCCAATAATAAATTTTGTTACTCATGAATATTGACATACTCTTATATAAAAATGTGTGTTTTTAGATATAGATGACTGTAACCCAAGTCCTTGTGTAAATGCTAAATCTTGTGTTGATGGAATATTTGATTTCACTTGTGAATGTCAAGATGGATACACAGGGAAACATTGTCAAACAGGTGCTGTTTTGTTCTTGACAAAATTTTATTCATTGTATAGGTTCAGCATTTTTGCTTTAAAATATCATGATTGAAACATTGAAAATAAGTTAATCAGATGACTGTTTGAGATTGTCTGATGGGAGAAATGTTTATGAATGAATTAATGCAGTTGTCAAAGTCTCAGGCGGCCATTTTATGCCAACATGTTGAATAAACAAATAGATCAGAATTCAAAAAATAAAAAGTCAATATCTTAGCAAATTATATTGAAAACAACTTTCAAAATCATTGTCGTAAATTTTAATCAAAACTAACTATGCTGATTTTAATAAAAATGAGTCGCTATTTTTGTTGTTGTAGATATTGACGATTGCAGTTCGAATCCTTGCAAGAATGGCGGAAGTTGTACGGATAAAGTCAATAACTTTTCTTGTGAATGCAGGCAAGGTTACGAAGGAAAATCTTGCGAAACAAGTAAAATTTAAAAGATGTATATTTATATATTTGCAGGTTTCATTTATGTTTATATACCTATTTTATTTGCAGAAATTATTCCCTGTATAATTCTCTTTTCTGAAAAAATTGATAGCCGATGTTTTTCTGACATATTAATGTTTCATCCATATGATACCGGTTGTGCCAAAATGAACTATAAAATTCGGCACCTAAAGCCTATGTATGGTCAATAGATGAATCTAAAGTAGATTCAGACGCTGCTTTAGCAAACTTGTATATAAAAGAATTGTACAATACTGAGCTGGAGCAGTTATATATGGCTCATAGTTTTATTCTCTGAGCTAGTAATAGAGTGAAAGTCAAAATTCTGAGTGTTTGTCAGCCTAGAATTAGTAATCAGTAATTTATTTTTTCACCATACACTGGATAAAACACATTGGATATTCAAAAAATTACAATAGATATGAAAAATGAATTTTAGGGCGAGGGGAACTGCGAAAAATCAATAGAGGTTATTGAGCAGCGGTACCTTTAAAATAGTATAAACTAGTGGCCGAATTACAAAGAACTCTATGAGTTCTATGAAGTCCTATTTAACTCCATAGTCAAAACAAAGTGCAAAATTCCCATTTGAAGTATTTCTCAATCTTTTTTCTTTTTAATTGGAATAGGTAGGATCCACTGAGCGTCCAAAGAATGATGAGCAATTATGGATATCATAGGTGATGTTGATATAATTGAAACAAACTTATTTCATTGCAGATATTGATGACTGCGTAGATCACGATTGCCAGCATGGTGGGAAATGTCAAGATGAGCTGAACGGTTATGTTTGTGTATGTACTACTGGATACATTGGCCTGAAATGCGAAACAAGTAAAGTTTCTGTGTTTTAATCATAAAGTCACATTTCAGTCATGTATGATCGCAATTTTAAATAGAAGCAAATTAGAACTCTAGACTCAAAGTTTGCTCAATTCACATGCATGCACACTCTCCCCTAGATGAAATAGATCTTAGCTAATATAGCGATGGTTCCACACGAGTTTTGTGGAAGGTAATCTCATGTGCTCATGAGATTTCTGCCGTTCATCGTTTGTAGCCACTGGGCATTGGTGGACCAAGGGTTTGACAAAATGGAGGTAATCACTGGAAGTTAACGGGTTGATGAACTAAACTAAATGCATACATTGATAGAAGTTGAACCTTCCTGTAAAATGTAAACCTTGATGTACTTTTACTATGATATCATTTTGTTTCTAATATCCTAATAATTAAAGTAATCAGCATTTCAGTAATCGTTTAATTAATTTATACATGATAAAACTTGTTTGGTGTTTTTTATCCAGGATGGGGAGTATTCATTCGCAACAGGCAGCAGTCAAAAATCAATTTTAGCATTCCACATAATATGCGAATAAAAATCGATAATTTTGGAGTGAATATATATTCCCTCTAAAGCGAATCAATATGGACTCATAAGTGAATTATTTTTTTAGACCAAATAACCTGTTTAATCGAAGCTAGAGGTATCACAGAAGAGACTTTTACCGTTTTATGTCCACCTGGTTGTGATCAATATACATCAAGATTGTGGGGAACTGAAATTTATAGCGACGATTCGTACATTTGTGCCGCGGGGATTCACGATGGAAGAATTTCTGGTATAGATTTTTGTTAAGACACCTGTTAAAGAGATGAAAAGTTATTGAAAGGTTGTTCAAAATCTGAACCCTTGATGCTGTATATATGATTAAGCACTCCCGTAGTATTTGCACCAAGATGGCGGACCATTGTTTGTGTTATGTTTTTACGTTTCATTTCATGAATAAGTAACATTAGTTTTTCACTAATTTTCTTTGTTTCCATGTTTCTAAAGCTGACCAAGGGGGTGAACTTTATGTAGTTAAGAAAAGCGGTCAAGAATCTTATGACGGCTCAACAAGGAATCACATCACTTCAAATAATCGTGGATACGTCGGAACTAAGGCTTTCTCGTTTACTGGTAAGAATTGTAGGCGAGATTTTACCAAAATAAATCATGCACAAAACCATAAGATATAATTTGTTAGAAAACCTCGTTTTTGAAATTTGTATCATTTCCAACTTATATAAGACTTTTTGTCATAATCAGCTCGATTTTTATCACCAAACTTCAAATCAGCTGTGAGAAATATTCGTTCATGACAAAATTAAGTCAAAAATTTCATTTTTTCTGAGTAAAAATTGTGTACTAATAATTGATCACTACAGGCTGTCAATAGCTTCGCAAATGAATACACTTTATTGGTTTGTTACATGACTGTGAGGACATTTACTTCATTTTTGATTAGTTCACAATTGACTCAGAATAAACCTTTAGAATTTCTTTTTCATTGGTATCAGGATTTAATATTTGTGAAGACAAATGTCGATATGATATACGATGTGAGAGACGTGTCGATGATTTCTACTGCGAGTGTTACCCTGGTTACTCTGGCAAAATATGTGATATAGGTATGTTGGTATTTCAAAAATTGCTACGTAATCTATTCAGTCCAAGAACATTGGTCTAAAAATTTTCCGACTCAGCTAAGAAAACGTTTTTTTTTTATCAAGAAAAATGTGAGATCTAGACTAAACGTTAAGGTCATCCTGATGAACCATCCATTAGAACTAAAACAGTTTGTGACCTTCATTTGTTAAAACTGTATGTGCATTTTAATAATAAACACTGACACTAAAAAAACTCATAAATTACAAATTATTGATAAGTCTACTATCACAACATTTGTTTATACAAACAAGGTGTTCTATCTGCTATGAAAATAGCTCTATAACAATGTAGATATAGTAACATTTAATGTGTGGCAAAGATGCAAGTCATAGTCAGAACCATTTACTTTAGATATTGATGATTGCAATCCGAATCCGTGTCAGAATGATGGAAAATGTACTGATGACGTGAATGATTTTTCGTGTCAATGTGCAGAAGGTTACCAAGGAAAAAGATGTGAAATAAGTATAAAAGCATTGAAATATTTATGAGTGATATTGAGTGTCCGGGGATGTATTTGTGTGAATGGCGTAAATTAAATTTTATTGGGTTAAATTTGTTTTTGACATAACTTCATATCCCCTAAATTGTCGCATTGTGTTAAATATTATTTAACTTTTAAAAAAAGAATGGTGATTTTACATGTAAGCACATAGGAAGCTTTGAAGTTGAGAAATATAAATTGTTTGTAATTATCTTTTGTTTTTTGTATAAGGATCAATGTATATTCAGTAATTATCCGTACCTTCCCCTAAAACATCTTTGGTCTTTTCTGTCTTTCGAAAAGGTTGTTTGATCATTAGTTGATCTCTATATTGATATGTTTTGTGATAAGTTTCTATCAAGATTTTATTTTATGCCAGCACAATTATTTGTTTCATGCATACCAAACTATGTGTGTTCCTATGCAATCTATTTTTTGGTAATCAAAAAACGATTGGAAAATAAGCATTGATTTGTTTTTACTAGAAACTGATCTCTGCAACCCCAACCCTTGCCGACATGTTGAGCGTTGCGAAAACAGAGAGAATGATTTTTATTGTGTGTGCATCCCCGGATATACAGGAAAAAGATGTGAAATCGGTGAGCATGATTGTGTGCAATTTTATAATAGAGAAAATCATTTCCATAAATTTTCAATCCTAGACCAACATTTTCAATGTTTTTATTCCTCTTTGCAAACTGTTTATTTCTTGTTTCTACTGTCTGCCGCTTCTAGTATACAAGCCGTAAAGCAATAAAACAAGTTTGCCCTCTTTGTCTGCTTGCACTTATTTAGACAAGAAGTAATCGGCAGAAAAGTATTAATATTAGGTATTTATCATTGCAAATATGTGTCATTTTTGAGAAATTGTGAAAGTCATTTGTTGCAATACGAATGGAGCTTTTTTAATATATATTTATGATATCTTTAAATTTTGTTTTAGATATAAATGATTGCCTTCCGAATCCTTGTCAAAATGGTGGACATTGCATTGATGAAGTGAATGATTTTTCATGCCAATGTGAAGGTGGTTTCGAAGGAAAGCGTTGTGAAGCGGGTAAGTAATTAGTAATTTGATTTTCATACAGCCCAATTAATGAAAAAAGCTTTTACTTGCATAGCTAGATTCCAAAAATAGCATGTTTTTATAATTAAGACACTAGAATACGTTTTGTGTGAGAAAATTATTCAAACACTGTGGAATACGTTTTGTGTGAGGAAATTATTCAATCTAATGTGACCAATTAATATACTACATTTCAGAAATATCCTGTAAAACAAAAATATGCTTGAATGGCGGTTTTTGTAAAGTTTCATCCGGAATTGAAGTTTGTTTCTGCCCACCGAACTATGCTGGAAACAATTGTGAAGCTGGTAATGGAAATATTCAGTAACGAACTATGCTTATTTTCTTTAATTCTAGCCAAGTCAAGCCAAGTTTATTTTTTTCAACCAGCAGAATCAAACCTAAACAATCAAACTTACACAAAATATAATACACAATTTTACTAGGAAATGGAAGACGCAGGGTACCAAAGCTGGTTTTACCAACATACATAATTTTTAACGTATATATTTATATCTCATTGCCCGACATCGGTATTTGTATTTACGTATTTCTTGCACTAGTGATTAGTTGGAATTTTGTCATCGTTTTTTTTAAAATAGATGTGAATGAGTGTCTTTCTAACCCGTGCGTAAACAATGGAATTTGCGGCAATCTGCCTGGAAGTTTTCTCTGTGAATGTCCACCAGGGTTTACAGGAAAATTGTGTGAAGGTGAGAAAATGCGCAGAAAAACTACGCAAATTAGTTCAATTCAATCGACAATTCGCACTTACAATCGTGAACATCAAAGCGGATTTTTGCCATCAATTTTCCGTGACATGAATATTTCAAAATATGATTTCAGTTTTTACTGAATACAAAATTCATTCATTGCCACGCTGCAGAAGTCTATGGGCGTTGTATATAGTTATTGTTAAAACAGTAATATACACCAGAGTAAATGTGGAATATTCTTTATTTTGTTGCTTGTATAACTGTGAAATAGTGGTTAATATTATTAAGGATTTTGAATTAGAAATATTTTTTCTGTTATGTCATATCAAAAAAAATATTTTCAAGAACAGTACCTGTGATATCCACATACAAATGTGACAGCTGAATGGAGTTACATGCTTTCTGATATTTGAACATTTATTCCATCTGATTTTTACTAATATCATGGCACATAAACAATATAAAATAAATATCTTGTAATTATTCAGAACAATGATTGCGGACAAATGGAGCGCACATGACGCTACAGGAGTTGCAGTTGAAAAAATATTTGACAGCTTCTTTCGACATTTATGAGCCTTTGCCTGTTATTTTTTGGCTGCCTTTGTAATTATTCATTTAATAAAAAAAATTTAATAAAAAAAATCATCAACTGGTTAACTATATGTGCATATAAACGTGTTCGGCATTCTAAGAATTGAACAAAGCTGTTGATGTATATATGTATATGTGATATTAAATGTCATTCAAGTAATGACGAATTTCATAAAAAGCCTTCACCCGATGTTTATGATAATGGAAACCGGATCCCAGCACGGTAAATTAATATTCCAAAAGTACTGAACACTTTCACATTGATTCATTTGTTTGTGTTGATTAATTACTGCTTCTGATGAAACACTGCTGGTTTATATCTGCATGAATGACAGTCATGTTAAAATCAGCATTGATAATGCTGCAAAAGGCAATGTCCGTTTTATCGCCTTTTAACTGTGTCAGATACCAAGACAAGATCACCAAAGATATCGTGCTTTTTTCGGTTATGTATTTTGTAATTTTTATAATTGGACCGTTTGTCATTGAGTTTATTTTTCTTATTGCCCAAATATCGTCGAATAAACGTAATAGTTGTTTTTTAGATATGGGATACGGAGCTACATTATAAAAATGATCGCATTAAAAAAAATAATATTTAAAGAAGAATATTTTAGACTGCCTTGAGCAATCCTAAAAATCCTCAAAGCAACGCATTGGTTATCTAACAAGCTGAAACTTTACTCGAGAAATGTAGTCGAGAATAATCTGATCTCTGCATTGCTTTACTAAACAGTTGAAATGTGCCTCGAAATAAAATACTTGGTTCTTATGAGCAAAATTTGTTGTTGAATAGAACAAAAGTCATACCTCTATCAACGAATTTGCTTATTCCTAGAACATGAAAATCAAATGAAATGCATAGCCGATTTACGATAAAATTTAACCGTGTCCGTGGACTAATCCCCGAGCCCGGCTGCAATGCTCATTGTCCCAATATCATTTTATCTGTTTGATTTAATCCGCCACGCTGCTGCAGCTGTCCACTAAATTTCAAATTTTATCCGTTTTCTGATACCTTATTCATTTAGCTTCTTTCTTTCCCGCTAATTTTGTGCGAATATTTCCAACTTGCATACTCCTGCACTCCACTACGCGCCTATGTTTCTGCATCTGCTTTCCCATCCGCACCTGTTTTTTCTGCATCCCCATTCGCCACTATGTATCAATAATGTTTTTGCTGCTTTGTCCGCTTTTCGTTAAGTACCGTGGTCGCTCTATCACACGTCCACTACATTCTGTATTCTCTTAGCGGTTGTATATATAGTCATTCTGGAAATTTTTGTTGCATAACAACATCTCATGCTTCAATCGTATCACTACTGACGACGAGAAGTAATCAGTATAAGATTGCATAATAGGCTTGCACGTAATTTACAGATTTACGGAATTATTTCGAGTTACGGAAGGGAAGTTACGAATTACGTAAAGTCGTAATTATTGGTCGAGCACTTTCGCGATTGAAACGAGCTCTCTTCAAAGCAGTCAATTCCGTCGATTGTAAAAAGTGAAAGTTTAAAAAGTAGAAGAAGTTAGAGCTTTGGTATTTGCAGCCGTTTTTCTCACTTTTCTCTCTCTTGCCAATACATCACCGTGATAATTAATGTCGCGCTTATCAAACAGCAATATGACGACAGAAGAGAAATTGCGTAATGAACCAACACAACTTCGTCTTTTCGGCATCGGTAAAGCGATTGAGACGGCAGAGAAACAACAATATGACGGGATTTCCCGCGATCCGGTAAAAATCAGCAATATGATGACGGAAGAGAAATTGCGTAATGAACCAACGCAACTTCCTCTTTTCGGCATCGGTAAAGCGATTGAGACGACAGAGAAACAACAATATGACGGGATTTCCCGCGATCCGGTAAAAATCCTTTGCGGACCGTTGACGGTTCGTGGACCGGCGGTTGGGAACCACTGTTTTAGAAAACTTAAATCGAATACAGAATTCTATTTTTATAGTTACCCGTATCTAAATAGTGGGATTTCTCCACCACAATGCATGATTAAAATTAAAAAAAAAAGCTAAATTGTAGCCTAATGTTTAATGTATAACTATCTTTGTGCAGTATTTAATTGAAACTGTCCTGATCATTGGATTATATTTAACCAAGGCAACGAGATTTAAGAATTTCGACGTTCGTTTTTTTGTTTTCAACAGTTCAATATTCTCAATTTAACTACTATCAAATATCAAGTATGAGCCAGTGTGTATATTCTGTGCGAGAACCATTTTCAATTACAAAACCTTGATGTTCTGTTACCGGTTTTATCGTTTTATATCAGTCCGGACTTGTCCTTGCTCAATATATTTTCCACAATGCCTCTTTACCAAATGCGGCAACTTATTTTGATTCTTGAATACCACCGACACTCGACCAAATTTGTGTCAATCTTGGCCGATAGGATCGTCGACTTGAGTTGGAAAAATAAGTTAATTTAAGTATTTTCGGAAAAGCCATGTCACATAAGTACGGTATTTAAATTATGCGCAAATAATTAATATTTGATCTAAATTTGTCGCAAATAATGTTACAACATTTAGGCCGCGAAATGATTTAGTAGTAAAGTCGAATAATGTTAAAAACGGTGCAATAACAAGTCTTCGTCGCGAGGCAAGCGCAGGTATAATCAAACGGAGAATACGCTTGTCGTCGCATTGATAAATTGGAAACCCGACATTTTTTTTAATACGATTTAAAAAAAGTCAACTATCGTTTCATAAATATCCGTATACCAGTGTCGGTAATGATAAAATTGATCGCATAAAATTGGGACGGTTAATTTGCGAAGGTGATAAAGGAAATCAAAGCTAGCACAAAAGATAAAAATCAGAATAAAATTAATTTGAATTAACTCTTGTCTTAACATCTGTCGCCGGCGTGTAGTACTGCCAGGAATATGAAAACCCAAACTCGATGTCCCAATCAAAAATGAAGTGGATTCAATTGGTTGTTATGATAGGTTTAAATGTGTGAAAAAATATCGCAATTACGGGGTCATTACGTAATCGATTTGGCCGTAATTACGGAACTGATTTTTGTCAATTACGTGCAAGCCTATTGCATAATATGATAAATGATTCTTCCTGACACCAAAGCGTATATATAATATGCCTGACACTGCTCTACAAAAGTGAACGTGCTTTGTGGTGACGGGGCTCAGTTTGTTATTATCGAATACAGGAGGAAACAGATAAAAATAAATCATAACTCTCCCTTCATTCAGTCCAATCATTTGATTCACCAAATAACTCGGAAAACGACGCAGACCTATAAGTATAAAAAGAATTATTCATCTTCATACTATTTTTATAATAGACTTATTATTTCACATTCTGACGATTTGCATAACACACTCGATGAAAAATACCGTATGTCACAGATTCGAGAAAATTAACACACGTTTATGGAATTACGGCCTTGTAGCTGACATCATACGGTAGAAAACATATCAAAGCTTTCTAAAAATTCCTGCATGTTTTAAGGTTTGTTTGCTAATGCAAATGTGCGGGTTGCAAATGCTACGTAGTTGCAAATGTGCTGCTTGCTTTTAATCTACAGAATTTCCCCATTCAATGCAGGAGCTTCAGCAAGATTTTGTAATCAGTAAAAGAAAGCTTGAGAAGTGAATCTCTTAATTGCCATTGGTTCGGAAGTTTTATCCAAATTTGAAATTATTTATCAATTTAAATGCTTTGTTTGAAACCGACTCGTGCAAACTGAAATTAAAAAAGGGAATGAATTTTAACGCTTGGACTTAATTTTTATAATACATAATGAATCATAAAACAACATCAGCTTATTCTAGTGCAGAGCAGTGAATCAAGTGTACATCTACGGATATAAAATCACATCGTGTTTGCATTTCACTTGGTACATCGAGCTACCGACGTCTTTTTGGCATTGTATCATTTTCAGATCTTCGAAATTTTTGCTTTATTAGTTTTTCGCCTTCACACCCGCATAACCGACACCAGTACACCTACACAGTAAAAGTCATCTGCTTCCCCTGCCGCCGACACCATTGTGACACGGCCATTGTTATTTCCACATAGAGTAATAGTATTAGACATTATTAGACCACAGCAAGAATTTCCCATAACTTGTACAGAATTAGTTTTATAATTTCCTTTTATCATATAAAGTTCTGATTGCACGACTATTTTCAATCGTTCAATACGCCTGGGTTCAGCGGTAGCTTGCCGAATGGCGTTGCGACAGTTTCGCAAAGATTAAAAACCACTGTTCTAGAGCGCCTTAACTGCTGACCAATGACGTTCAAAAAAGTCGTCTTGATGCTTTTTCAGGTAAATCAAAGCAATCAGATATTATACAGAGTTGAGGGATTTTTTAAATCCATTTGCATTTTTAGTTTTGCAACAAAGCAAAAACAGATTATACAATGTCATGTTCTACGTATGTAAGCAACCATATTTGTAATTTTAATGAACATAGAATGATTCGTGTCAGTGTCATGGCAATAAAATGTTCGAATATATCAATCGCACGGCCGAAGATTTTGCCAGCTTAAATAGAATTTGTAATGAGCATTTCTCACGATGCTGTGGAAAGTTTCGATTTTTGTTCAAACTTTATCTCACTATAAGTAATCGAAGGAACCTTTGAAGGCAATTCAGATATCCGGTGAAGTTCTTGAAACTGGGTTCTCTCACGAAAACGTTGTTTGTGTATTTTGCACTTCATTCAGCTTTTGCACAAATGTTTTTAGCTTTTTATGTAGACATAGCAAGTTCGGTATGGTATAGGAATGGAGAGGTTTCAAAATGGCAAATTAAAATCTGTTACACTCAGGAACTACGTAAAAACCTTTACCTTTTTTTTTTAATTTTGAATATTAGAAATGATTTTGTCTTTTAGGAAGTTTTTTTGATCATTTTAAATGACGAATAGGAAACTGAAAAACTCGGATGAAAGGCGTTTGGCTTGATTTACTATTTATTTCATTATCGCTGACGCTGATATATATGGATTATAATGGTAGCTCGAAGAAAAGTGTGAAGGAAATTATACCAGTAAATAAATGTTATGAATTCAGTGAAATGTGATAGCTATTTCTATTGTTCTATATAATGTGGACATCACATATTAAATCAAAACTAGATTCATTTAGTTTCTGTGATCTGTAATTAAGAAAAGTATTAGTTTATTTGGGTATTCTCGGGGAGTTTTCTTGTTTCCGCCAAGCTACTTTTGACTTTACGTGCATGAAATTCATTTAGATTATTATCCGCCAAGCACATCACTAAAATCGCACTTTCACTCGAAGCAAGGCAAGCGGCCACTAAGTATTGCAGCATATCAAAAAGTTTTTGCTATCACTCATATCCGTGTATGAATTCTCGGCACAGAAGAAGCATGTGAATGAAACCCTATTGCCTTTCTTGTTTTCAAGTATTATTTACTTTCAACTTTGCGTTTTCCGCCTTACAATGCTCAATAATTTTGCTAATGAAGGGAAATTTCGTCACTGTTTGGATGAATCGATCAATTTATAGGGGCGGAGTGCAAAAGAAACCGATAGGGTTGGTATTGTGATATAGCAACCAACATATAGGCAAATACAACCAACACATATATACAGACAACCAATTATACATATGTAACCCTCTCATTATACACATAGAGCCATTCAAGTGATGTCCTCAGACAGCCAATCCAACAGCATTGATATATATTAGTATTCTTTTATGACTAAAATATTGTTAGGCCATTGGGTGTAAATTCGCCGCAAACAGATCAAATTATAGCTTTGTGCAAACTAACATTGCGTTTCATTTGATTTAATATAGCAATTAATTGAGCCTTTAATTTAATTCAAAGCCAAATAACTATTTTTATTCCTACCGGTTGGTGATATTTTGATCACAGCAATTCATTGCATTTTCCATCACAATATTTCAGCAAAATTAGCAACAAAAAATAATTTGCCGAAGCTTCAAAAATCAATAAAATGTAACGTGAGTAAAGATAGTATGCGTTAAACTTTAATATAAATAGTTTGTCGCCTGTTTACTATCATTTTTTTTGGACAAACAATTATTCGAGAGGGAATTCCAATGTCGTTGTTGTCACTAGCACATTACTTATGTTATGAGCGATCAGCAGTTTATGGGTTTTATGAAATTATAGATTGTGGTCATCTGTACGTATTCATCCACTACAAGCGAAGCGATATATAGCATCGGCGCATTTCGCGTTCAATTATGAAATTCCTTCATCATTCGTTTCTGCGGGTTGCTTTCACGCAGACGTATTAATTGTGATAATTTTATTCTTTAAATTTTTACATTATTATTGAGCTTTATTTGCTTATCGGAACCGAAAGCAAAATGAGATTTCGACTTACATGCTGGATGTTATTACTGATATACTATCCACGATGTGAGTTTACTTTTTATATTTTTACTTTTTAATTAAATCCTTATTATAATGGATTCAATAATATGGCCTTTTATTTGGTTCTCTCTTTTCTCTTTTAATATATATATTTGTCGTTCATAAAACACCATTAGACGATTTTCCCCATATGGCAACGATTGAATACCTGTTGTAAAAAATTGATAAAAGTAACAATAAATGTTTTAGAAATGTGTATTTTAACATTCTGAAATGTGTAATCATATGTAGGAGATTTCTAGAACTTTTTTTGGGCTTTCCAAATATATAAACTTTTAATAATCTGTACTATTTCAAGCAAAGAGTCAATAAAATAAGCTGCCAGGGAAATATATAGTTGTGATAGACAGGTTTACAATAATTTTTGTACTGTTTGTGAAGCAAACTCTGCCACCCATAAATATCTAGTGGTCATGAAATTTCCAGCAAAAATTTGTGTATTTTTCTCACCAAAAATTGTTATTTACTTCTCTCTTTTTAAGGAATATGGAAATAAGAAATTGCGTTGTGTTGATATTTTTAGATATCAACAGCTCTTGTATAAAACAGGCAGTTGAAGAAGGTCGAAAGTGCAGAAAGTCATGTTCAATTGACAGTGATTGTACCTCAAAAGGTGGCCTCAAACGTTGCAGGTGCGATGGCGCGTGTGGTATGTCTTGTTTCAACCCAGGTGATTAGTTTGAATATGTTTATTTACCCCAGATGTAAATTTGACATTTCATTTGTGATGATTAGGTATAATATTTTGCAAAACACTATTCTGGGTATTCTAATAAATAAAATCTGGGCGACGTAATTTGAAATCGCGCCATTTCAATGTAATGGTTCGATTCCAATTACAAACGACGTCATGACTTGAGATCACTTGAGAACTTGAGGAACCATTTCAATGTAATGGTTCGATTCCAATTACAAACGACGTCATGACTTGAGATCACTTGAGAACTTGAGGAATGGCTTGTATTTTGATCAAGGTTGACTTTACGATATGATTTGATTTATCATTTATAAATGTGTTATCGCAGCTGGAAGTATTTTTTTCCATTGTAATATTCTGACGAGCACTTAATTGCATACTTAGAATTCCTATAAATATTTTCAATAAAGTACAAAATGATTCAAAGATTCAATTTTTCACTCAAATAATGTACTGCTTGGAACTTAAAAGGAAAGGAAAATAGTCATAATTAGGAAACAAGTCTCTTTAATTAACCTTGTGATTTATTGATTGCTGTGGGTTTCATCACGATATGAAAGGCTAAAAGATTGAATTGACCAACATTGAAGAATTTTACTTTCTTCGGTTGCATAAACGTTGACAAAACATTGAAATGTTATTTTCATTTTTGTAAAGATGCGTTGTGCCTATCAGAACCAGTTGATATTCCAAACGGTTTTAGAACATGGAACAAGCTTACTATGGGTGGAAAGGCAACCTACCGATGTAACACTGGATTTATATTAAAAGGCGATTTTAAACCCGTTTGCTGTGGCATGGCCCACCACCTACATGTGAAGGTAAGAATCGCACGAAACAACACATTATGAGTTATGATACACCACCCGTATCAATTGCGCGATATCAACTAATTATCAACCTGAAAAATTGAAAATAATCGATATTATTTTACTAATATTTTCCGCCCATACTTTCAGCTGGATGTTTGCTACCATCAAACATAGGAAATTCGTTTCCTAATGTTTCAGAAGAAACTGCAGCAGTTGGTGAAGTAATTCCTTTCATGTGTAATACAGGTATGTTTTCAGAAATTGAAACTGTACTCAAATGTTATGTATAGTTTTGCTTTGTGAAATAACTCAAAGACCCTAAATAAACCAAAGTTAAAAGACTTTACATGTTTATTATAAACTCTATCTCAAATCTACAGGACCGATATGAATTATATACATTACTTTTGCGTTTATGATGTCACAATCCGTACAATTTTTTTCAGTGCTGATTGCCAATTTAAACTTTGCATAGACTATAGCAGTGGTTCTTGAAGTTTTTGAGCCGCGCCCCTATAAAAATTTTACAAACTTCGCTGAAAAATAAAGTAGCTAATGACGTTTGCGATTGCACTTTTTTTCAAATCTTCGATTGTTTTTGTCAGCATGACATTTTATTTAATCCGCAAAAATCTTTATTTCGGTTTTTATTCTCCCTAAATCAGAAATTTTCCTTGACAAATGTTTCGTGTCGCGAAGACTATTCTAATTGCTTTTTTTCGTTCTCGCGTGGAGCCATGACTACTCTGAGGAAAACGAGTTAATTTTTATTATATAATCATCAGCGGCGAGATGCTAAAGATAGAATAAAGAAGTGAATCCGCAACCAAAAAATTTATTGACTGAAAAAGCGGCATTATAAAATACTAAAAATAAAACAGAAAACGCCATGGGTTTGTTTTGGGATGGACCGCGGTAGATTAAAAACACTTTCTTAGACATTTCACCTTTAGTGTTATAAAACTACCGACTTTAAATAAATTTTACTCCGTGGGATTTTATCGCAAACTTGGGAATGTCTCTAACAGTGATATCTTAAAATTAGTCCAGTGACAGAATTGCGCTGGCGCGGAGTAAAAATTGCAGAGCCAGTCCATATTGGACTGATTTGCAGAATATGAATCAGAATAAACTGTAGTCGGACAGTTTTCAACGCATTTTTATGTCCGTGGATTGGTATTTTGGAACAGTTGATTTTATCGCAATTAAATAAATAAAGCAACCATTTTAAATATGTATATCGGTCACGGATTGTATATTTTCTTCAACCATTACAAAAATTTATTTTTGTTTATTAAGTTTATTTTGTCGTGAGTCGCCGCAACAACGAGTTACCCTAAACACAAATGAATTGGAATATTTCGCCACACACTTTAAGAACCACTGTACTATAGCTTAGAGTTCAGAAGAAATTTGTCGAAATGTTTTGAGCAAGACAATGTTAACTTTATAAAACAAAAAGAGCAATTGTACTTCTGATATATTGTAACGATATAATGGGATTGATGCATTACAGGTTATCATATGACCGGTGACGGCGATCGAACTTGTCAAGTAAATGGTCAAATGTCCCGTGGGGAATATTCTTGTAGTATTCAAGTATGCGACACTCTGCCAACAGTTCATAATGGACACATAATCATGGAATCTCCACTTACCTTTTAATCAACTGTAAAGCTAGTTTGTGACACCGGTAATTCTATTAAAACAATAAACATGAAAATATTCAAGCCGGTGTTTGTTAGGGTTGTTATTGCCACTTTTATGAATAACTTATACGGCATATTAATATACTTATAAAATATATATAAATATACATATATAAATATATTTCGTTGCTGTATTTTTTTAGGCAAACATATTAATCCAAGGGAATAATATACTTATGTTTTCTTTTAATTAACGAGGGTATGAACCTGAATCAGAAGTCACCATCCTTCAATGTCGTGCCGGAGCTTTCAATTCTGCTAGTGGAAAATGGTCACCTGCCGATCATTTTCCAGAATGCACAGGTAAACAATTTTTCGCTCAAACTTTAAACTATACAGCAAACTACCATATATACTCGTATGATTATATATAACCTGACACCAAAAGAAAACTGCATTCAGCAGTGTTGGCTTTTATTGACAGGCAGTAATAATTAGGGTATGCTCACGAAAAATTATCAGACGCATCACATTGCCGTGATTTATACAGGTATTTCTCACATCACGTTTTTCTAAAGACTTCAAATCCGACCCCACTATAGTCAGGTAGAAGGTAAGAAATAAAAATTCCGGCACATCAACACTCCACGAATATAAATATCAAGAATTAAAAAAAAATGTGAAAACTATTATTTTTATATCCAATAAAATCATATGTATATTTCTTCAGCTGTAAAGTGCGGTTATCCCCGTGACCCCCAAAACGGCCGAGTATTGCATAGAGACGGTAATTGGGAATATGGAAATCGAATTACGTACAATTGCAATACTGGTTATAAATTAATTGGGAGTGATACAGCAAGCTGTGGAGCTGATGCAACATGGGGTGATTTGCCGTTTTGCGAGAGTAAGTTTTTTCTATGACATTTATTTTCAATTATTTTCTTATGTTGATGCAGAATTTGTTTCCTGTTACGATAGCAAAATACCATCGAAATGTTACAAAATATAACTAACTATATATCTGATGCTGCGCATTTACATGTAACAAATTAATATTACAAAAAATATACATACCGCATTAAGCCAATACCAATGGAGCAAATTTAACGAAATTCAAAACTATTGAATATATATATTTTTTATTAACTGTAGGGAATCATTTAGAACACTCTATAAATTGAATTAATTGTTTCGATGCTGGTTAAAATGGCCGGGGGCATTGCACTTTTTGAGCAAATTTTTCGAGTGCGTAAAATATTCAATTCATGGCCGATTCGAGCATTCAAAACGTCTTTCCATATTAATTTAATCTGGTTCATCGTAGCTCGCCTTTACGATGACTTACGGTTAAATAAAAGCACTACTAATATAAAATACTACGGAAATCTGCGGACATAAAATACACAAAAAGCTGTCTGAATATGACTAGATTGAATGCATATTATTACGACTTAAGACAAATCCCACGCACTTGAGATTTTTTTAAGTGTAACCAAAAGCTGCTGTTGGCCATCTTCTTCGTTAGTTGATGTTGACTAGTTTACTACTTTGATATATATTGGGCTCCTACTATCTAGACTCCGATATAAAAACGATTATATTAATCAGAAGTTATACGTGCTCCAATTGGGAGCTCCTGTTAATTTTATATAACAGATCAACTCAATATCCATCCTTAAGTATTATTTTATGGTGACCGTACATTTTAACCCATGTACATTTGAACCCATGCGTATATCCACGGATTCAATCTATATGCGGGTGCTAAAACCCATGGGTTAGGGTTAGTATAGGTTTAAGTATCCGTGAAACAAAAAAAATTCCATAGGTGCAATAGCATACAGGTGCAATTGTCATGGGTTCAAATGTACGTGGGTTCAAATGTAATGGAACCTTATTTTATTGCTCCGGTTAAACAAATTACGATCGTCAATAACAAGAAATTATAAAACACGACTTAAATAATAAAGTATAAATTGTACCTTTAAATAGCATCGTCCATAAGATAACAGCAGAATTAGCTAGAACAGCTAACCTTTCTTCCACCACTCTATTTTCTTTGTCCCGATCAGTCTATTTAAATGGAATTGGGGGTTTCTCAATTTAGTGGATAATTTGTCTATCTTTATTTATTACTTTTTCGGGAAGAAGGTTTTTCTTTGACCAAATCAAATTCTAGTTTGTCTCGTTTATGATAGGAGGAATTTAGGATGTGCACGACAATTTCTTATTTCATCGGCACTATTATTTAAGTCAAATATCTTGTAAAGTTTATGAAATCACCTAGTTTAAATTTGAAAATAGCGATGATTTCATTGTCCCGTGAGTATGAATCTTTTTATGCTCGTGGAAATTTACAGGTGCTAAGTCGAAAGTCAAATTTTTAAAGATTAATTGGGGTAATATTCGATGATTTAAAGTCACAAATTGCAAATTTGTTACATAAGATATCACCGTTAAATAAATCCCAAGTGTTGCATTAAACCAAAGAGCACAACTCGCAAACGCGCAAAGTATTCAATCCATGACCGTTACGAGCATATTTAAAATGTCCTGATTTATTAATTTAATTGTATTCAATGTAACCTGCTTTTGTGTCGACTGAAAATATAAAAGCATGGCTGCTCTAAAAAGCCGCGCCCACAAAGTTGTATGACAATGTATCCGATTATGTCATGTTTAGATTCGTATTTCCCGATAAACGGTCAAATTTTCCAAGGTAACGCACCATATTTTGCGCTTTACAATGTCTAAAGAGCATTTTTAATCTGTCGTGGGACTAAGGTGTTTGATTCCCTTCGTTTTATTTTTAGTATTTTACAATGACGCTTTTCAGTCAAAAAAATTGGGTTGCGAATTCACTCCTTTAATAATTATCCTCAGCATCTCGTCCCAACGAATATAATATAATATTAATAACAAGTTTTTCCCAACAACTCAAAATTCTGTTCGAGAACCAAAAAGTAAATATCGTCGTCCTCGTAAAACATGACAAGCATATGTTGATGAAAATTCGTGATTTAGGGAGAATGAATACGTGATCAGGCAATATTCCAACTTTAATAGCTTCCATGGAGTCGAAAACACCAGTCGTTTTTTTCTCGGGAGTGTAATATGAATTTTCCGTAATTTGCACGTAAATCGAAATAAACAGACGTTTTTTTCATTTTCACAACAAAACCGTGAGCACGATCTCAAAATATCTTGAATACATTTAGTAAACTGAATTGCAAAATACGCTAAAAATGAACAACCTGTAAAGTTGGAACGTGAATTCCAATCCACTCAACGTTGTTGTAGTGGAGTCCTATTTGCACCCGCAACCGTCTTGAAGAATTATGCGCAATCTCCCAGCTTCTAGTAACTGCACAACCAAACTAGTAAAAAGGCAACGAGATTCTTAGAAAACGAACTGTATTCATCAATCTCCACATATGACAATATGAGTAAAATGTTGCTACAGCATAAAAACTTGAACACCGACAATAAAACTAATTTATAGCGACACGGATGCACTATGAATAAGCAATGAAAAAATGATAAAATACCAATAACAATAACAAGCAATATTGCCAATACTAAATAATAACCTAACTATGCTAAATTTATCTGGCACATTTCACGAAACCCGCATCCCTTAGGTGCTAAACTAAATCCAAGGCAAATCTCAATATTAAACAACACTTTCACTATTCCAAAGTGCCTTATAGAACGAAGAATCAGAAAAGCGTTATATCAAAACCCGGGAAAAAAGTTTCACTCCCTAAGTCTTGACTGTGGCGCAATAATGAGTCACTGTCAACAGAAAATTAAGATAATAAAAATAGAACATAATTTGCCCGGGATTGTTGAAAATAATAGAGAAATATAGATGGCCGAAAGTGTGAGACGTGCGAGATCAAATCTAACAAACCTAATAACGTCTTTTGTGTATTCACGTGTCATACTCTGGTAATCCAACATAGATAGGATATCACCCTTTCATGCATCTTAGGTTTGTCAAAATTTTATTAAACTTTGTCAGTTTTGAAGACAGTACATTTTCGGAAGCTTTATTTCGAAACACTTCAATGAATTTTACTGTAACGCATATTTTACATCATGATCATGTTTTGTTATAGTCAATCCTAACTGTGATTTTGAAGAATTTTCTGAGCCCACATGTGGATATTCAAATCCATATCCACGATGGGAAAGAAGGTATACCTCATCACAATATGATGGAATCCCGGGTAAGTCCACAAATTTGTCGTTTCATAAATAATCTAACTGAGCATCACTTACTAATATATTAGGCTTTGTCTGACAACTAAAATTTGGCAACGAATGTTGAGAAATTGCTATTCAAGCATCCACTATTTCCCTGCATAGCTATGGTACTTTGCCTTTATGGTAAGATGGCGTTTCCACCAATTTCCCACCATTTAAAAAAACGAAAATTTGACTGTTTTTTTTTTGCAAAAATAGATAATATATATATATATGTATACTATTTATTATTGCAACTGAAAGTCAACTTACCATAGGTCGAGTTTACTCAATAGTTTTGATAACGTTCCAAACATATTCAACCAAAATATGCATTTTGAGCCATTTCTTATACATATACAGCCAGCTCAATGTATATGCATATGACATTAGATTTTGTATGTGCATCAATCAAATGGCTATACATTTATATATATATGTGTATATTTAGTTGATTGTATATATATCTAATACGGTAGTTAAGTAGACATACCGTGCTAAAAAAGCGACAGTTATGTAGACGGAAAAATTGGGTAGACATTTTCCTGTCCGCTTAATTATTCCACGTTCCATAATTAAAACGTTTTGCTATTTTTTGCTGAAATCTCTTTTTCTCTGATAAAACAGTATCAAAAACAATATGTTCTTTCAATATTTTAAAAATATCTGCATATTTTCGCCAACTTTAAGGGGACAGTAGTTCTGCTGGTTTATAATCAACGGGTATAATTTTCGTACACTAAGCGGACATTTTGTTTACGCGAAAATCTTTTAATTTTTCGGTATATGTCTTTACGATTTTTGGAGAGTAGGATTGATAATTTTGATACAATAACCAGGCAGAACATGAAGATCGTTCGTTCTGTTTTTTGCAATATAAGCTCAATAAACTGAAAAGGACCTCAATTCACAACTCCGTACTAAAGAGGCTTTGTGTCGCAATAGTAAAACTGTCGGGTTTGCCAAGAACTTTACCTACCACGTTTGCCGTTTTGTTCGCAAGTAACCTGGACGCCGTGAGGGGATCGGGATCTTCATGAGTGCGTGATTGCAGAAATTTAGATAAAATAGAACAGTTGTGTTTGGAGAAGCGATCCAAGTCTTTTGTGTCAGGTGTTATCAATTACCCAGTGAGTTGAAGTCGAGTCATAATAACTTGAAACAAGGTTTTCAACGTCACCGAAGAATGCTGCTGGAAATCATCACTCATCGGATAAGGTGATTAGTCATAACGATTTTTAATAATAGGGCTACTATATTTTTGTTCTAAGTGATTCAAGAGTCTTGCTGCACACTAACACAATTATATTTACTATGTATGTCTGAAGGAGTCTGATCTTGGTCAGACGAAACGTTACAGAAATATAATTGTGTTAGTGTGCATCAAGACTCTTGAATCACTTAGGACTGTAGGATAGTTATCTTTACTCTTGCTACAGCATCCTTGCACTATATGCATACGGATCCGCCGACACAAAAGCATAGAAGAAGGATAAGTAGTTAGTCTTGCAGAAACCAAATCATTAGCATATATTTTTGTTGTTGAGATTTTTCACTTATTCCTGATTATCAAAAGACTACTGATACTGTTATGCTTTTACTGGTCGTAGTTCTGATCTGACCATCAAAATATTGCTACGACTGGGTTTGCGTTTGTAAGAGTGTGTAATTCAGAAGGATTTCTAAATCCAGATGACAATACAAACGAAGATTGTGAAAATTCAATGAATTCAAATTTTTCTCGAAACAGAAGGAGATACGAGAAGCGAGTGGTTGACGCCACTTTATATAGGTTTGTATAGCTTTGTATAATAAAAATATCTAATACACCGCTTCATATTAGATTAGAATATTTTATCTTCGGAAAACAGTTTTAAAGAATTGCATTGCTAGCAATTTTGTTTTGTGATTTGGCACATATCCCTGTGTTATTTTACCATCCTCATCTAGCTATTTACTGGGCTGTATTTTTTGTTCACATGTAAGTGACTCTCCAACGAGATGGCCTACGTTTCAGAACTTGGCAGACGGAAATGCGGGTAGTGATTCGGAGAACGCTGTGCCAGGAGGTGATTAAATTAGTTTGCTATGCTTGTTTTTAATTAAATACGGTATCTCAAATTGATACCAATGAATGGTAATAAACCAAATCATAATATCAATTGTAGCCCATCACAAATAGCGCGGCTATCTACGAATAATTGTAGTGCTCCGTTTAAAAACACTGTTTGGTGCTCCCGAAGTATGCGAACCAAGATGGCGGACATCGGAACGTAACATGGGTAACAGGTTAGGGTTAGGCGATAATTTTTTTCCAGTTTTCCTTATTTTAGTCCTATTATCAGTTCGAAGACTAGCCAAGAGCCTCCCGTAGTATTTATACCTAAAATTATGGACTAACCCTAACCTAGTACACATATTACATTCCGATGTCCGCCATCTTGGTTCGCATACTTCGGGAGCCCCACTGTTTTATTTGAGTAATAATGCAATTCCCCATTTCAAACACTTCGTTTGTTCGGTCAATCAAGAGTACCGTAATTCTGAATTGGACTAGAACACTGTGATGATGTTTTGTGACTTATGCATGTATTTTTGACCAAAGTTTCAGATTAGTCAACAGACTATACCGCACCATCTTCAGAATCACTTTCAATAAGCAATGTAAGTGACTTAAAAGAAAATCATATATACGGAAAAGAAAAGGGCTGTAAATCAATTCCAAAAAAAGCTTCTAAATAAACGTGAACCAGAAAAGAAACGACGAAAAGAAAAATAATTGCACGGCTTTGTATATCTTGCGAGAAGTTTATTGTAAAGCTTTAAGACATCTCTGTATAATTCATAAAGATGAACCGGCAGTGAGCACATAATTTTGTCTCTCCTCAACAACTTAATCTAGTGGGCATATCCACATTCGTATACATACTTGGCATACATTTTTACTATTTAATTATAAATTCAAAATAACAATCATGTTTTTGTATTCCGAGTTGGTGCAAAAATTTTAAATAAATTGTGCAAAAGATTCTAAATTGATATCGGGTTGAATATTTCATGTTGATCGCTTGTATAGTTGCTGTATAATCACTGCTATACTTAAGGCGCGCCTTGATAGGTAGACATTTGAGTTATAATTGGTGTAATGTTTCTCATTTTAAGTTGACATGGCAAAATTTCATTTCGCATTTATAGGCCCCACTGAAACGTCACATAATTGAACATGGTGTGGTAACAGATATGGTGTGTGTAATGGTTCTCGATATTTTTTAGAGATTTCGTGTTTTAATTACAATACCTTCTGAAATGGTCGGATGGTTGAAATTTTTTTTGAATGCTTCCTAATATTATTTCATTCCAAAATATCATTTTTGCATTTACATGACACACTTTACGCTAAGCTGAGTAAATGAACGAAATTTGGCCGATATATTTTCTGTAATTGTTCCCTCAATGATGGTTTCAAATTTTGTTTCAATATATTGTCCAACTGCTCAAGTATCGTGATAGGTGAACATTTGAGATTAAATGTTGAGGCAATTTTCCACAACAGTCAACAAATGATGATAGTATTCGGAAATTTCTATTTTAGTTATATTTCACACCACTAAAACGCGGGGTCCGAACTAAAGTTTGACATTGAGTATAATTTGTGTAAGATTTCTCAATATGATTCAGGAATTGGTTTCAATAGTTGTATGCTACACTTAGGTAGTCGGGTATTCGGACATTTGAGATATATATTTTGTGTAATGTTCCTCAATATCATTTCAGAATTTTCATTGTGATCGTTTTATGGCCACACTTTAGGTGGCCTGATAGGTAGACATTTGAGATATACTTTGTGTAATGTTTCTCAATATATTCAGAATTTTCATTGTGATTGTTTTATGCCACACTTAGGTGGCCGGATAGGTGAACATTTGAGATATACTTTGTGTAATGTTTCTCAACATGATTTCAGAATTTTCATTTCAATTCTTGTATGCCACACTTAGGTGGCCGGATAGGTGGACATTTGAGATATACTTTGTGTAATGTTTCTCAATGTGATTTAAGAATTTCATTTCAATTCTTGTATGCCACACTTAGGAGGCCGGATAGGTGGACATTGATTTATACTTCGCATAATGTTTCTCATTACGATTTCGGAATTTTCATTTTAATGTTTTATGCCACACTTAGGTGGCCGGATAGGTGGACATTTGAGATATACTTTGTGTAATGTTTCTCAATATGATTCCAGAATTTTCATTTTATTGTTTTATGCCACACTTAGGTGGCCGGATAGGTGGACATTTGAGATATACTTCGTGTAATGTTTCTCAATATGATTCCAGAATTTTCATGTTATTGTTTTATGCCACACTTAGGTGGCCGGATAGGTGGACATTTGAGATAAAGTTTGTGATATTTCTCAATTTGAATTCAGAATTTTTATTTCAATTCTTGTATGCCACACTTAGGTGGCCGGATAGGTGGACATTCAAAATATATTTTGTGTAATATTTCTCAATATGATTTCAGAATTTTCATTTTAATGCTTTATGCCACACCTAGGTGGCCGGATAGGTGGACATTTGAGATATACTTTGTGTAATATTTCTCAACATGATTTCAGAGTTTTCATTTTAATGCTTTATGCCACACTTAGGTTGCCGGATAGGTGGACATTTAAGATATACTTTGTGTGATATTTCTCAATATGATTTCAAAATTTTCATTTTAATTCTTGTATGCCACATTTAGGTGGCCGGATAGGTGGACATTTGAAACATATTTTGTGTAATATTTCTCAATATGATTTCAGAATTTTCATTTTAATGCTTTATGCCACACTTAGGTGGCCGGATAGGTGGACATTTGAGATATACTTTGTGTAATGTTTCTCAATATGATTTCAGAATTTTCATTTTGATGCTTTATGCCACACCTAGGTGGCCGGATAGGTGGACATTTGAGATATACTTTGTGTGATATTTCTCGATAGGATTTCAAAATTTTCATTTCAATTCTTGTATGCCACACTTAGGTGGCCGGATAGGTGGACATTTGAGATATAGTAGGTCGGGGGAAGTCGGACCCACTAATAAGTTATTTTGAATAACTCTTCAAATAATGTCGCAGCTGCATTCGTTCTACGATTGATTCATGCACCCACCCTCCAGCTATCTTGCCATATTTGCACATTGTTGCCATAGCAACGAATCGGAATTTACGCCCGATTTTCAGCTAAAAAAATATCGGGGTAAGTTAGACACTTTGTGGGAAAGACGGACACACACCAAAATTAACTTGATGGTGTCTAAGATTTCGGTCATAAGACTTCGGTCAACGCCTAGATGGCCCAGGATTATGTCTCTTAAATTTTTTTTAAACAGATCACTTTTCTTGCATATTAAAAAGTATGTCCGTCTTACCCCATAAAGGACATAACAGGGCAATTTTCGAAAGAGCTTGAACAGTTTTAGGAAAACTAGAAATTTAAAATTTAGTTTGCGCTTTTTCAACCGCAATTTTTATATCTTCTTTACACGGACTACCTCTAGAAGTATTTATTTTGTAATTTCTTGGCATAACCTTGGGCGTATATTATACGCATATGAAAAAAATAATTTGACGGGGTAAGATGAAATTTTACGCCGGGCTTAACTTCTAAGAGACCCAATATAAATATGGCGATGAGTGTGCTTTTTGATCTTTGTTGTAAAAGGGAACTAATTCCCAAAAAATAATTATTTATAAGTTTCGATGACGACGGGCCATTGACATTCCCAACAGACTATATTGAAAAAAATCCTCCCCCCTCCCCCACTCGAAATCCACCCTACCTCTTAAGTGACCCTGCCAATCCAAATATGAGTACTGGCAGTCTGCTAAAGAATTTATTCGATCTAATGCAACTACTTTCAACAAATAAACAAAATAGAACCGAGTTCGCAGACTTTTCCGGCTAAAATTATTCTTCGCCACCATGGGACTCTATAATTTGACGTTTTTCTGACCCAACAAAAACACACTTTCCCCAAAAAGCACCGCCTTGTAAGTTGTCGAGCCTGGAATGTAAAATCTTGGTTCTGTCGTTGTTCGCATGATGTCGCTCTTTCACGCGATGCGTTTTGAGCGACGAAAAAGCGCGAGGTGTCGCTAGTAGGAGGATTTTATTTTGACTGACCATCATACCCCGGGTGTCCGAACTACCCCGACCTACAATATACTTTGTGTAATATTTCTCAATATGATTTCAGAGTGTGGCCGGATAGGTGGACATTTGAGATATACTTTGTGTAATATTTCTCAATATGATTTCAGAATTTTTATTTTAATTGTTATATGCCACACTTAAATGCCGGATAAGTGGACATTTGAGATATATTTTGTGTAATGTTTCTCAATAGGGCTGGTGTTCATTTTTCAATTACGTGCCACATTTGAGTGACCGAATAGATGAACATTTGAAATCGAATTTGTGTGATTTTTGTCTTCATTAATGACATGAATTTCATTCTGCGGTTTCCTTCTGCGTATATATAATTTTCTTCTATTGTTTCTCAATAATATTAGCACTTTCATTTTTTATTTTACTATTATATACCACACTTCCTTTTTAAAATAATATTTCACACTTTAGCAATCAAATTGGTGATACATTTGAAATATATTTTGTGTATTGTTTCTCAATATGTATGGCATTTCAAAATTTTGTTTTTCAATTATATGTCACGCTTAATAACTAGCCATATAGATATGCGAATTTTTGAGATATATTTTGCGCAAAGTTTATCAATATTATTTGAATGCAATAATTTTGACTTGGTATTGATATCTTGACACTCACAACATAGCATCTGTTCAATCTATATGTTACACCATAAGGTTGGAATAGGCGAACATTTGTGATATGCTCTGTGTATTTCTCAGTTTCAAATATATATTACGTTTGAATCAATTTGTTTCGATTTGTCTACCTTCACGTTGCATTTTGAGTATTTTTTGACATGGAAGATTATTTCCTACACCAAACACAGTGCATCTCCCTTGCACAAAATACTGAACATTGAAAAAAAATGCTATTTTCTGTGATAAATAATGCTAAATGGTTCGAATCCATCGGAAATTAAAGCGAGGTCATACGCTTTAAAATGCGTAATAAAATAAAAGCAGCATCATTTATGTAGACATCCAGGGCGACATATAGGAGGGGTCCGGCTTAGTGCCGAAATAGGCTAAAACATTTGGTGGTCTGAATTAAGTGGACGAATTAAGCGGACAAAAATTTTATATCTGTTATCGAGAGGATTGTGTTGACTCTTTTTCTCCGTAGTTGTCAACGGCTCTCGCGCTCTCCAAGTACGTATTTAAAAACAATGATACGGACACAGGAACGACGTCCGCTTAAGTACTGCAATTATGGCAGCTCCGTTTAACTACCGTAATAGAGTTATATATATATGTATATATATATATCCCCTATATATATGCATATGACATTTCTATGTAAATCTTTTAAACGGCAGTGTATGTATATTGATATGACTCCTTTGGGAATATAACATAATATATGCAAAGGGCATTGACTGTATATGTATATTGCATTTACTCTGCATGTATATGAATTGACAATATCTATATACGGTATGCACATTTTGGCTGTAATTGTATATCATGTTACCAAATCCACTTCATTTACATGCAAGGTAATCTTGTGCATGTAATTAAATGACAAAATAATTGGTCTATTTGCACCATCACACACTAACCAAACGTTTTGTTCTCAAAAACTTGTTTATAATAGTATGACTTCTTTGATTATTCGTTTTAGGTTACATTATTCGTGCTACTACAAGTGGAACAGGACTGATATCAGCTGAAATACCTGATGACTGGAGTTCTGGGAAGATGTGCTTACAGTTTCATTACAAGTTGTTAGGCAAATCAAGCCTACTGACTATATCATCAACGTAAAATATAATTTCCTATTTGTTTAGGCTTCTAGAGCAGTGGTTCCCAAATTTTTTGTTGGGACCCACTATTTATTACCACAGCTTATGGCGACCCATTTAACTTTTTATGACATAACACAGAACTCAGCGATGGCTAATCATCGCAAAACTACTGTGTTTTCTCGAAAATAAGACCTGGCCAGAAAAGAAGACCTAATTTGAATTTTGAAAATGATTTTAATTAAACCCTACCCTCAAAATAAATTTAAAATTTGTGGGAGAGGAAAGGTTCAATGACCTGAGGTAAGAAGAAGATCACACCACTATTCAAGATTGTGTGATGTCACAATCACAATTATGATATTTTTCACTTGATTTTTGTATAAGAAATACAAATAAAAACAATGGATGTCGGTTTTTATATAATGTTTATTAAAAAATCTCGTGATTTTTTACAATGTAATTTTATTTTTGATAAATGAATACAAAAGACCTCTTTCAAAAAAAAAAAAAAAATATCGTTATTTCTAAAAGAAAATACATCTAATTCCTTTCTAAATTTCGGGGAAACATGGTAAAAAGTTCTGTACAGTGTACAAAACTACTATGTGTAAAAAAGCCACATGATCATTCTTTGTGTAGCAAATTTTTGTTCCTATCAGAAGATCGTAAAACGGAAACTTTCACAGATTAGAATTTAAATTCAATTTAAATTCTTTTGTTTTTTTGAAGATTTACGTATTCGAGTCGCCACCGATCCTAATAACCAGTATAATTAATCAAAGCTTTCTACATCTTTTCAGGACCCACTAAGATTCCTTTTGGGACCCATCGACCCATAGTTTGGGAACCGCTGTTCTAGAGTATTCCTAATTATTCTAAATCACAATACTATTAATATTCTCTTGTTTAAATGTAGTCTTCTCATCCTCGCCCCTGATTATAAATCTACCCAAGGCATTCAACAAATGGGGTATATTGTACCCACTCAAATTTGTATCACATTTCCTTTTTAATCATCTGGCAATGTACATTGGTTTACTTTTAGATCAACCCCGTTCACTGCATTTTGGAGAAATCACATCAATGAAGCGAGAAACACTTGGTTGGATTCTCTGGTGAACATTGATTTATCAACATCTATCCAATACAAATTTGAAGCGAATCAACCAACAGTTGAATTGGATGATGTTCAAGTAAAAAAAAACGGTTGTTGTGAGTAAATGTCCTTACAAATGTCCATACAAAAAAAACGATGAATATAGACTGCAACATCTATATTTATATCACTCGAATCGGTGTTTATTGGCATTTCTGCTGAGCTGAAACCATGTTCCTGTCATTTAATTTTTGTTATTTATCGCAGAACTACCTACATATTTATATACCGTGTATATAAAACATGTATCTACCTGAATATAAGTTTTAATAGATATATGCCAAAATCAACAAAGTTGATGGAAATGAAATCGCTAAAGTTTGTGGAAGCAAATCCTAGCGAGATTGTGTGCATTTAAAGAGATACCGCAGGATGTAAATGAGTTCAGAGACAACTGATTCTCAGACAACATATGGCATCGATTGCACAAACGTGTAAATGTAGAAATTATATAATATAAACCCCAGGCAAAAGTGGCAAACTTGAAATTTTAATAAGTAAGTGATAAAAGACGGTAATATTTCATTAAAATTCTTTTTTGTTTTCAGTTGAACATTGTAAGAGTTACACTTGTAAACATGGCGGATCCTGCGTGAATAGAGCAAACGATTACACATGCTTCTGCACAGTTGATTTTGAAGGAAAAACATGTGATAAAGGTTGTTACCAGTACTATCAATGTGATATACTCAAATTTTTCATTAGATTCGGATTCATATTCAATTTTCTGTGTTTCACAACTCAGATTTGAAATGCGTCGAGCCAGTCGAATGAATTCAGAATGGTCGATTGTTACGCAACAATACTGGCCCTCATAATCTGTTTATTCCGGGAACAACTGTTACATATGGCTGCAACGCTAAGTTTAGAATATTTGGCAAATATGATATTCAAACAGAAGAAACAATTACTTGCACAAAAGATAGTTGGGGAGGTGACAGTTTCTGGCGAAAAAATCCCAGGGACATTAGATGCATATGTAAGTATAATGATGAAAAACCTAAAACACTCAAAAATTAATTTTTATATATATACAACATATAAAAAACGCATGTTTTTTACCAAATGTTAACGAATGTCACTCTGTGATTATAATGTATAAAATGTAAGTTACTTTTCAAAGACTACCGTGTTTCCCCGAAGATAAAACAGGGTCCTAATTATATTCTATTTTAAAAAATACCACTAGGGTTATTTCGGGGGGATGTATTTTATTTTCAATTGAAAAAAAAAAAAAATTCAAAGTAGAGAAATAAAAGATTTTTAAATATACAGAATATAAAAACCAATACCAATTTATTTATAAATAACACTTTTTATTTAAAAAAAACTGCTAAACATAGAGTATTTAAAATGACCATATCATCACCTACTGGGATGTCTTGCAATTCACTAGATTTGTAAATTTTACTGAAGTTTCCATTTAACTGATTTTTCTTGCTATAGACTAGATCAGGGTGGTCCGAGATTGTCGGCCTCGTAGGCCACGCTATTATTTTTGTATTGTACCAAGAATAGGCAAACAGTGAAATACCAACTTTTATTGTCCAAACACATTGATTATTATTTGTCATTTATCATGCTGAACCAAGCAAAAACCACAAAAAACTCATTGAAACGTGCAAAAATCTCACTATATCTACATTTAGTGTAAGATTTCCAACTCTTCATAATGTAGGAAGTGTCATAAGGAGAAAGTACCATTTTAGATTGTCACCGAAACAACTTTAAGCAAGCATTGCGGTATTTTTTCTCTCACATCTATAGTCAAAAATCTGTTGGAACTGGTCAGCTTTCTTTTCAAACTCATGTTTACAAAATAATTTATAAATAACTGCGGATTGATTTAATACCGAATCTTACCAAATTTGAGATACGTCTCTCTCCAAATTCTCGTCCAAAAAAATAGAAAGCCAGTTAACAACTTAGACTAGCCAAGTACATTATTCAACTTTGCTAGTTGACTCAGCTAGTCATAATGCTAGTCAATTCAGTGACATTAGTGATGTAACAATATGTCAAAAGATTTTTCTGGTCAATTTTATGACGAACAACGCCAAATGCATTTTTTGTTTACCGACGCTCGAAAGCGACGCGGCCACAAATAATGAAGCGGCGGCCCACATGTAGCCCACGGGCCTGGGTTTGGAACACCCTGGACTCGATCAAAAAATCCCGCTATTGACTAGGACTTATTTCAAAAGGTGGGCTTATATTGGAATCATTTGCAAAATTAAGGATAGGTCTTATTTTCAGGCTAGGTCTTATTTTCGGGGAAACACGGTAGATTACCAATTTTATATACGTACTGCATTTGGACAGTGACCATATAGTATCTTGGAAATATTGTTATGTAAGATCTGTTACGCTGCGACTCATGCTTCCGAAACTTGCTTGTATCGATTTGTTTTCCTATTTCACCATTTCAAAACCTTCATGTCGGTTTGACTTAATTGGATACTAAATTGATGTTACGAGACAATATGAGGACGACAATGATACATTAGGCTGTAAATTTCCCCAAACGTTATCATAAGTTAAAAAAATATAGTTTATTCACATTAATTTACACATTAATATAAACTCGACCCGATAACTAGATATATGTGGATTGCAAGTCGATAAATGCGCTCGACCATAATTACGATTTTACGTAATTTGTAACTTCCCTTCCGTAACTCCAAATAATTCCGTAAATTATGTGCAAGCCTAAATACGAGATGGTGGTTGATTATTTCGACGCTATCCAAAGCAACATACACTTGCAATGAAAACTATAAATTATCAGGATATGATGAAATAAAAACTAAAATGAAGATAACTTGCACTTGGAGAGGGTCGTTATTGAAAAGCATCTGGATTCCTAGTGTGAATAGCATAAGCTGCATTGGTTTGCATTATCCTTTGAAACAAAAAAGGTTTATTGCATTAATGTTTCCTGTATTCTTAATAATTGCAACAGTGATGGAGATTGAAATTTCTATATGTTTATTTTTATGTTCATATTAGTTTCGTATACCAAGGTACGAGTATATCGTATTATCTGAGGATAGTACCTGAGATTATATGAGTTTGAGTGATCAGAATGAGAAACTGGATTACAACAGTTGAAAAATATTATCCAACTAACTTGTTATTGTAATTGTTTCTAAAAAAAAACATGTATTTTTAGAAACAAGACAATCATATATCCGCAAACTAAATTGACAGTTGAATTAAGTTATATAGAGAAAGATATTGTGATATTTGGATATGTATTCCACTTTCGATTATTGTAATAGATAAAAGATCTACAATGTGCATTTTTGTTTATTTTAGAACGTTGATCGATGACAAAAGGAGCACACAGGATGCTAGAGGATTGCTAGCTTCACATTACATTTATAAACATACGTGTACTACCTGCCATCTGCTTTTCACATTATATATTCCAAATAAAATTAAACTTCACCAATGGTTGATTTACGAAGATGTCGTACTTCCCCTTCGTTTGACCATAGTGTTTGAGTCTCTGCATTGTACTCCTTACAGATGTTCCTATAAATAAACCATTTTATGAGTGCGTGTTTCTAAAATGAATAAACAAATATGTAAACAGTTTTTTGTAGATTGAGATTAGATTTTATGTAGAAATGGGAAAATTCAAGAAGTAGCGCATGATTGCCATCAGGTAAAGGGTGGATAAATATTGAAAATATATAGAGCACAACCAGTCACGCAAAATGATTTAATTTTCCGAATTCGAATTTATATTAAAAAAGCTTTAGCCCCCCCCCCCCCTTTTTGTATATATTTATCTATATATAAAACACAGTTGATCGGTACATCTACAACATTATCAATCACTAATCATGGACAATACACAATTCGTCATATAAAACAATCAGTAATTGTATCATAAAATTTTCCATTTTTTTTATCATGTTTCTTTATTTTGCCATTTTTATATGCAATAAACCGTTCAATTTCCCCTCACTTCAGACAGATATGAGGTAAAAACATTAAACAGTGGTTCCTTTTTCTGTTAATTACAACGATATAGATAAAACCGGGCGACAAGAAGTATACAGCTACACAATTTGTTATAAAAATTACAAACATATCCCAACATGCAATCTCTATTTGAAAAGTTAAAAATAATCCCTGTTTTTGAGTATATCCACATGTTTAGAGTTTCCCAAAACTGTTGAACAACTATACCATCACAGAAAAGGTGGCTGATAGTTTCAACATTAGAATGACAGAAATCACATGACTCTAATGAAACAAGTTTAAATTTATACAATCTATCGTTTAGTACTATTGCACCATGGAACATTTTTATATTAAAAGATTGCAATTTGGTTTCAATAGTACAATAAAAGATATCCATATACAATTTATTCCAATTAAAATCACTCTCTAAAATAATAAGATCTGCCCATTTTTTTCTTGATTTATCAGGGGATATAAATTTGATCAGGTTCAACCTTTCATAGATACTTTTATTTACTTTATCTGACTCGAATGTTTCAGAAATAAAATGAGATACAGGGTCCCTTCAGGGTCACTTAATACACTAAAATCAAAACAGTTTCCAATATTGCATAACCAATCGTTAGGTAAAACTCCAGTGATGCGATAATAATTTACATACTCTACATCACAATATTTCATGCCATATTTTTCAGTCAACTCTCTATGAGTAAACAAATTACCCACATTTGCTAAGTGTCTTACTGCTTTTATACCATGTTCATACCAAGACTTGATAAAAAATTGTTTTATGGCATAAGAAATACTTTTGTTGTACCATATGAGTTGATCAAAAGTTGACATTTTCCCATCAAAAAGCACATTTTTACAGAATACCAGTTTTTAAATACATTTCGAATGGACGTTAAAGGTAAATGCTTCAGAACATATGAATTTGAGCTCATTTTCCTTCAAGCATTGCTTGAAAACAGTATTGGTCAAGCACTTCCATCTCAATCAATTTCCACACTGGGTTATCACAGTCACATCATCAGCAAGCATAGAAATTTTCATAGAAATATCCCTCCATTTCATGGGTTCAATTTTTGGGTTTTGCCTGACCTCTATGGATTCCAAAATCATCTGAAATATGATCATTATTTGTGACACAGCACTTGATATCATTGTAAAGAATTTTAACCCATTTTATGAATTTAAGATCAAATCCAAATATATGAAGAATTTTGAACAAGAAATCCCATTTCACACTATAATACGCTTTTTGTATATCAAGAAAAATTAAAGCCCCAGGCAATGATTCAGCGACAGTTAGGTCACTTACATCACAAATCAGTCGAATATTATCCCCTATATTCCTCCTTTTAATAAATCCAGTTTGATCCAGATCAACAATTCTGTTGATTACATTACTCATTTGGTTTGTTAATGCTTTACTCAATATTTTCTAGTCCACGTTTACTAATTGCTTATACAATGTTCAGTTTGTCCTTTCTTAGGAAGAAGAGTTATTAATCCCCTTTTTTCTGTTTTGCTCAAAGTCCCTTTAACAAATGAGTGATTGTAGCTAGCCATCAGAAGATGTTTAATATCTTCCCAAAACATCTTATAAAACTCTGCTGGA